TATGTATTGTTTGTATAGGTCTGACAACACTCCATCATGTATATATTGTTTGTATAGGTCCGACAACACTCCATCATATATGTATTGTTTGTATAGGTCTGACAACACTCCTTCATGTATGTATCGTTTGTATAGGTCTGACAACACTCTTAACAGCAGCTGGTCTGCGATCCAGGACTCGGACGACCTCAGCGATGATTCATCGTGTGGGGAGCAGTTTTTCGCGGTGGGACTTGACCTTGTACATGCCATAGATTCTAAGTAAGTTTGACTTCAAGGTTTTCAGGGTTTGGGACAAAAAGAGCCGATAGTTTTTTGTCTTGCAGCCACAAAGTAGCAGAAGCGAGATTAAGGTGTTGCTTTTCCGGCAACGGCGTCAACATTAAGTTTTTGCTTTGAAGTTAGCTTCAATGAAAATATAAGTGCTAGACCAACCAAACTTGGACAATAGATGCATCTTAGGTAGTACCTCTCAACCCATGCATCAAATGCTGGATGCGGTCTACTTTTCATGGTCCATTGACTTTGTCAGCATCTCCATCAACATTAAGTTTTTGCGTTTAAGTTAATTTCAATCCAAATGGCTTGTTATGTAGTAATGATTTATACAGTTATGGACCCTTAATTCTACTGACTTACATATCTTCAGGAGTGAGTAATATTATATAAAGCTTTATAACAAGGTATAAATACAATACAATAGATTCTCAGTAAAGTCTGATCTATGTGATTTTCTAGCTGTAGTCAGATTAGGAATGTTTCCCTGAATTCAATAATTTTGGTACAAGAAAATATGTATGGTTATACGTCATGGTATGGGTTTAAAAATTGGTCAAACTTTGCAGGAGTGGATGCAGTGATGACGAGAGCCACAAGCCAGGTATGAAATCACCCAACCACGACCGTCCGCACCTGAGTGACGACCGTCCGCACCTGAGTGACGACCGTCCACACAGTGCCGAGGATCTCCTCGTGAGTATTCACTACAGACTAGGCTGGCTGTGGAAACTTTTAATTTAACTTACAGTTTATGTGTTCTGTTTGACTAAATATAAATTTGTGTGTTGCTGCTTAATCAGCAACTTGTAACAACACTGTTTTTTTGTAATGCATAATAATCCTGCTCCGACATCGTAATGAAGGGGGAATAAAGGGTTTGGCTTTGTATCCGTCCTTCGGTGCGTCCCTCTGTACGACACCATGGTTAGACTTCATGTTTAAGCTCTATTTGTTTGGTCAGACTGTTTTACTCCAATCCTTTGGTTAGATTTTGTGTTTAACTCTGATTCCATCAACGTCGTAACAGTTTAACTCTGATTCCATCAACATCGTAACAGTTTAACTCTGATTCCATCAACGTTGTAACAGTTTAACTCTGATTCCATCAATATTGTAACAGTTTAACTTTGATTCCATCAACGTCGTAACAGTTTAAATCTGATTCCATCAACATCGTAACAGTTTAACTTTGATTTCATCAACGTCGTAACAGTTTAACTTTTGTGAGGGAGACCCTGGATTTTGTGAGGGAGACCCCGATTTTGTGAGGGAGACTCCCGATTTTGTGAGGGAGACCCCGGAAAGAACAGCTCAAAAGACTCAAAAGATGCCCCCCCACACACACACAAACACTGAAAATTAAAAAAACGTTGGCAAGTATAGATAGGGGCATGTGTATGTTAAACAAACATTTCCAAGTGTTGTTTATTTTTTCGTTTAGCATGAAAAGCAGATGGTTGGTCTCTGGCCATCCAGTCAGAACTGGAATCAACCTGGACAACTCCTGGCCAATGAGGAGGCTAGCGAAGGGTCATATGACCAGCCTATCAACCAATCACATCGCCCGGTGTCTATGCAGTGGAGTGATCCTCTGGCTAACAGGAATGTCTGGCCAGTGTCAGGTGAGGATTCTTGTTCGTAAACATTGACCCTTGACCTTTTGCCTTTATCATGCATCCTATTTGACCGTAGATTATGTTTGGTTAGTTTTTTATCCAATAAATCTCTCATGAAGTAAAACTACCTCTCATAAGTATTCCGATAAAAAAAACTTAGTTTTCGTTCGAATAACTTCATGAAAAACAATCAGAAATATGTATTAAAAAATTACTGTAGGAAAGAAATTCTATATTTGACATAAACTGAGTATTTGTTATTTCATGATCAGCTGTTAAAGTAGCGGCGACATGTCTGTTTCAGGTATTGGTAACTCGCACAGCCTTCAGGGATTTGGACAACATCAGTAGTGCTGGTCGCTGGGTTGGTGTGATTTGGACAACATCAGTAGTGCTGGTCGCTGGGTTGGTGTGCCATGTCTATATATGGTTGTCAGAGTTTAAGGTTAGGCAGAGTTGCTGAGATCTCTCCTGTCACTTCCAACATCAGGCTGTGAAGAATTCTGGAGGTCATGACAGGTCACAGGTCAACTCTCAATCCTTGAGATCAAATATTCAACGTTCAGTTCAAACACAAATTAATGTGATATTTATATAATAAATGTACAAATTTAGTTAGAAATGAATGTACTGGGATAAAAGTGAAGACTTAAAATACAAAGGAAGTAGTTACATTGAAATTTAATCTTTTTACTTCAGATCTATGAAATTCCGATTTTTGAAAGGCTAACAATTAGTAATTGTTGAGGGATCAGACAAGTTGGATGTATGACTTGGCAGACCAGAAGATTTTGATAAGCTATGTTATATTTTCAGAGTCAATCATTTATACGCAACCATTCTCATGTTCAAGCATGGATTTTGTGCTCAAGCAGAATTTCTTGTTCCTGTTATATATCATTTAAAAAAATCTTAATTTGTCAATGGGTTGTCAAAGCATTGAAGAAAATTTAAGCCGATCACTGTTTTCAATTTTTACATTTGACTTTTTGATCGTTTGAACATGAGAACGGTTTCATGAATACAGGCCGAGGAGAATGTTTAAGTGTACCAATGATCAGCTATTCTGTATATCTATTCCAATAGACACATTAGTGATGAGCGTGACACGTTTCATTCTAAACAGTGCTGCCATGGCCTTTAATTGATTGTCACATTAATGGGTGTACGCCATTGAGATGCCAACGGCCCCTCCGTTTGTCTGATTGTGCTACAAATAAGTGCACAAGTTTGCGATGGAATTGCAGTTTCTTTCCATTGCCTCATTTGGGCCTATACTTGGGCAGTTTGTGGGACTTCTGTAACGCTGGGACTTCTGTAACAGTCCCAGTTACAAATAAAACGTGTTTAATGATGGCAGAACATAATTCTAACACTTTACACTGTATTCACATTAATTGTTAAACTTTTTTTTTTAAATAAGTTGAGATTAGTAAAAAGTTTAAACAAGAAGTGTTCCTTAGGAATGATTCTGAAAAGAGTTTTGCATAATAAAAAAATCATGAACAATTTACATCATTTTGTTTACAAAACAAATGACATCTTAATCAGATCAAATTGTTACAAATTGTATTAAGCTACAAGTAGACGCATGTATTAAAAATTAAATCATGTTTCTATATTGTTAAAATTACTGAGGCTGATACTGTAAAAGTTCTTTTTTTCGCAGCAGTCTGTAATTTTCGCGAAGTTCCTGAAGTGGTAAGTTTCAAGGGATCTCTTTTTCACAATTTCTGGTCAAGTGGCCGTGATAAATCATGATACAGTAATGATAGATAAACCTAACTATGTATTCCTGGAATAATTCATACTGCGAAAAACTGCAATATCACAATCATCCCTGCCTTACTGTTGATTGTATTCTGACGAACTATCATGACTAAGATATTTGCCAACTTACCAGTAGATGACTATATTTCAACAGTGCTGTTTTAAGTATTACACTATGTAAACTTACTGTGCTGGACATGGCTGTTGAAGTTATTAATGGAATAAGGTATATATATTATATATAGAAACTTAATTTATTTTACAACAATGATAAAACAAGTTATATCAACTTATATTATTCATTCTTGTTGGCCCGGATGTTAGCGCTCGTGGGTCTAAGTGTGGGAGGAAACCAGAGTACCCAGAGTGCCCATGTGATCGGACAGGTGCGTGACCCCATACCTTTTCACATCTGATCAGCCCTAAAGAGCATCCCAAACAAGCGATAACTGTGGGATACTTGAGAAAATGGCACTTTGATACCGAATATAGATCAACTTTGTAAAAACGTGTCCTGCATGTCTGACCCTCTAAAGTTTTTCTCATGTCCTAAAACTTTGACCTGGCTTGCTGACCCTCATTGTCTTTAAATCTTTGTTACAGTTTAATATTGTAGTAGGTTTTACCTTAAAGTGCTAGATTATGAATTGCACATTTAAAACTGTGTAAATTGAATGCTGTATAAACCAGGACACAATTGTCTCAATTTTTTCCATCTCAACGGTGCGGTGCATTGATTCAACTTCTAATATTCAAATTTCTTAAAAGATTTCCGGAATTAGATTTGTTTTTGGTTATTATTTCAAATCCCAGGAAATGAAGTTGTGTGTTTTAACAACATATGTATTTGAAAGCTTTCAAAATTAGTCTTTAACCTTTTTAAATGAAATTTGAAACAGCTGATTCCTAAAATTCCTGTGCTCTACTTTCTGAAATGAACCTTGTCGTTTGACATAGAAGTTCAACACTATTTTACTGTTTGTAACACTTTCAAAATGTGAGTGGGACAGGCCATATGGGCCTTTTGTTTAATGTTACAACATTGTACTCTCACAACCGAAACCCGAACTAGTGTTAGATACCAAAATACTGTATACAGTAAAGCACCTAGACACATTTCCATACTCTTCAGATTGGGATCATATATAGCCCAGCAGAATTGAAATTTTTGATTTTCATTATGACAGTCTTCAAAAAAAGTGGATTATCAAGACAAGATTTGGGATTCTGTGAATTTTTTGCTGTATTTTCTGTCTTTGATTCATTATATATTGTGATAAAATGACTTCAAATAGGGCATATAGATGTCTGGTAAAACTTATGTATCAATTTGGTGTCTGTTGTCATATATAGATCTTGTCATTAATTTGATAGAATATAAATAAAACCACTGTTGATTTGACTATGTGTTTTAGTGAGATTTTAGTTCTAGATAACAGACTAATAGTAGGCCTGTTTGGTGCATGAATAATTCACTTGCCACATGTTTTAAACTGATTGGTGTAAAATGTCCAAGTTTGTTTGAACTTCCCCAACAACGCTGTGCAAACACGTTATGATGTGTCAAAGTATCAATATAAAAAAGTCATATTTGACCTGCAAACTTTTTTAGCTAAATTTAATTCATAATCACTCATACATAAGAAATAGCTGGCACATTTACAAAGTTTATCATTCTCACAATGGTTTTGAAAAAGGAAACACTTATCATTTGTTGGGTGTAATTAGCTTTAAGGTTAGCGTCATATTGATATTCCAGTAATTACATAATTCTCTATTTCTTTTTTATTTTATTGCTTATTTATTGTATCATTTTACGTTTTTGCCAATTGCCTCGTGCATTATACAAACTTTCAAGGGTACGTTAGCTTTTATTGTGAATTTACAAAGTTTATGATGACAATAGTTTTGCCAAGTGTATTTACAATACCTTTATTTTACATAAATATTGAACGACTCATATTACATATAGATATTAAATGAACAGTTATATTATTTTGTAAATTTTTTATCATTTATTTCAAATAAGAAGAATGTAGAACAGCCAGATGTTGGCCATATACAATGTATTAACGTTTGTATGCAAAGGTACAAATTATACTTGTTAATCACATACTGTAATGTCTTGCGTAATGCCCACAGGCCCTTAATCACACACCATAATGTCTTGTGTAATGCCCGCTGGCCATTAATCACATACCCTAATGTCTTGTGTAATGCCCACAGGCCCTTAATCACACACCGTAATGTCTTGTGTAATGCCCGCTGGCCGTTAATCACACACCCTAATGTCTTGTGTAATGCCCACGGCCGTTAATCACACACCCTAATGTCTTGTGTAATGCCCACGGGCCGTTAATCACACACCCTAATGTGTTGTGTATTGCCCACGGGCCGTTAATCACACACCCTAATGTCTTGCGTATTGCCCGCTGGCCGTTAATCACACACCCTAATGTCTTGTGTAATGCCCACGGGCCGTTAATCACACACCCTAATGTCTTTCGTATTGCCCACGGGCCGTTAATCACAAACCCTAATGTCTTGTGTATTGCCCGCGGGCCGTTAATCACATACCCTAATGTCTTGCGTATTGCCCGTTGGCCATTAATCACACACCGTAATGTCTTGCGTATTGCCTGCGGGCCGTTAATCACAAACCCTAATGTATTATTACAGCCTGTGGGCTGTATGTTTTTTTGCCTTGAGAAATTCCCTTTGTTGGCTTTTTGATGAAGTGGGCAATGTGATGAAATGTTATTAAAAAAGTTATAAAAAGGCTGGCTATGCGATATCAAAAATCTTAACAAAAACACAACCAAATTATAGAAATTCCCAAGTTTTACCATCGAGCAAATTCAGGAAAAGTTGAGTCATATTACCGGTACTGTATTACATCGTACTTATTGAGAGTACGAGGAGTCGACATGGCCGTTTATGTCAGAATAATGAATAACACAATAGGTATATCAAGGAATATATAAAGTAAAAAATTAAATCTTATTAGAATTGATTATAACATTGCTACGTATCCAGATATGTACAAGGGAGAGCCTAGCGGGCCCACTTCCGGGGTGGGCAATCTACCGGGCCCAATACCGGGGTGGGCAATCTACCGGGCCCAATACCGGGGTGGGCAAAATACCGGGCCCACTACGGGGTGGGCAATCTACCGGGCCCACTACCGGGGTGGGCAATCTACCGGGCCCAATACCGGGTGGACCATCTACCTAATCACACACCCTAATGTCTTTCCTACCGGGCCCACTACGGGGTGGGCAATCTACCGGGCCCAATACCGGGTGGGCCATCTACCGGGCCCACTACCGGGGTGGGCAATCTACCGGGCCCAATACTGGGGTGGACCATCTACCGGGCCCACTACCGGGGTGGGCAATCTACCGGGCCCACTACCGGGGTGGGCAATCTACCGGGCCCACTACCGGGTGGGCAATCTACCGGGCCCACTACCAGGGTGGGCGATCTGCAGACTGTATTTCCTGAACATGATATTTTCTGGTGTGTTGGCAATACGCATGAAATAACGGTACTGAAGTTATTACATACTGAGAATACTGCCAACACGAAATGTTCATGGGGACTTTCTTTTCCACGAACGTTTATACACAACGAACATTTCATGTTATACAGTATCTGATATATAACATGTGTGACATGTAAAATCACCCATAATGCAGTTTGATGTCATAGCGTTGCCATGCTGAAGTCATGAAATGTATCAAAAATTAAAAAATTATTGGATTTTCTTGCTTTTCTTATCACGTTTTAAGAGAAATATGGTTATTTAACGTTTTGCAATACTTGTGATGAACAGAATCTCAAACTTGCGTCTGTTGAAGCTGCGGAAGCTGACAGAAATCAGATTCAATGGAAGCAGGTTTGATGTCTCTTATATATGTCTTTATCTTCAATAAGATTCATCAGTTTGGAAATATGTAATATCAAAGTTTTACTTCCTACACAAACAGTGTACGTATTAAACGTGTTGCAACGTTTCAAGACCGACTGGTCCCTTCGTCAAGCTATGACTGAGTGAGCGATTTGTATTTTTTACCTGTTTTTAACCTATCTGATGCAGTGTGTATACGCTCCCTATCGATAGGCGAAACGTCTTGGGTCGAGTGACATGAAAAATATATCATTTCGAACAGGTAAAAATACAAATCGCTCACTCAGTCATAGCTTGACAAAGGGAGGGGTTGGTCTTGAAACGTTGCGACACGTTTAATACGTACATTGTTTGTGTAGAAAGTAAAACTTTGATATCATGTCTTTATTTATATTGAAATATTACATAAAATTATGGTAATATACACACTTATGTCAATGGACTATCTTCCGTATTTATTTGAAATGTATCGAGGGACATAGAAGTAAAAGTATATAGGTATGAGCAATGTAGGCCTTTTGGTATAATATGCATAAAAATCATAAAGAAATCCAAGCTCCTTTGTTGAAAACGTATCAGTATTATAATTATAAAGCCAATATAAGGCTACAAGTCAGTTAATAATGAACGTGTTAGCTGGATGTGACCTGTGTCACATGTTAACAGCTACAAGTCCGTTAATGTTGAGCGTGTTAGCTGGATGTGACCTGTGTCGCATGTTAACAGCTACAAGTCCGTTAATGTTGAGCGTGTTAGCTGGATGTGACCTGTGTCGCATGTTTACAGCTACAAGTCAGTTAATGTACATAGCTGGGGCAAGAGAACACTTACTGTATTGATGTGATGTAATTTTTTTATAACTTCATTATTTATGTCCTCTGTTTATTATATATACGCCGATCCATCCTTTATTTTGGGCTGGGGTGCCTCACAGCTGTTTGGGTTGGTTTGGAGTAGAATACTGTAGCCTATTTTTAAGCCCAGACCTGGGTCCCTCGAGCTGCATGTTGGGTGTGGTTGGGTATTCTGGAACCTGTAAATGCCTTGTGCTTGTTATGAGTCTTGGTTTCCAATGGCTCATTTACAATGTCATACAATTTAAAACTAAAATCAGATACCATGGTAACCTATGATGCAGCCCTGACCATTATATATTTCACTCAAAGCAATGGAGAGTACTACACTATATGTTTGCTGTGTCGGAAATTTGAATCTTTTGATGTGTATAAAACATGGATGAAGACTGAAGATTTTTTCCAAACTTTTGCCTTCTTTTTTTTTAGCCTTTTTACTCCTCAGGTCCCTGTGTTTAGACAGATCCACAGGTCCCTGTGATCATCACAGATCTTTATGCAAAGTATGTCAGAGTTTGTCTTGCCAGGTAGAT